AGGCTGTCGATGCCACGGCCAGCCATCGGTGGGACCTGGTTGCGGCAGGAGTGAAGGTGCCTCGCTCTGTCCCAGGCGCGCTGGGGATCGGGGGCGGTCCACCTCTTGGACCATCTTTCCCTCTCGAGATCCATGGCTGCAAGGGGGCTGGGGGTAGGGAGGAGAAGGAGGAGGAGGATGAGGAGGAGGAGGAGGAGGAGGATGAGGAGGACTAGGAGGTATGCCCTCCGAAGTAAACTCGGCGGCGGCTTGGTGTACCGTTGGAGCTGGCCCACCCTGTCGCGGAACGCCTCTTCAGCCCGAGAACGAAGCTTGCCGACGGCAGTTTGGGGGCAGCTTGCGGGGCGCTGGCCGCGTTGATTCTCGCAGCCTCAGAGATTACCGGCAGTTCGTCCGAGACAAGGTTGGTGGCCCTATTGGGCCAGGCTTGCCGAGATTTGATGGGCTCAACGGGAATATTTAACGCTGGCCTTGTGGGCACACCCAGGGCTCTCTGGAGGAGCCTGGACCTAGCCTCCTCCCCTTGAGGGGATAAGGGTCGGGTTTCGGAGTGGGCCGAGGGGCCTGCTCAGCAACTTGCGCGAGTCGGAGCAGCTCGCTCCACCGCATGGCAATTGGGTCCAAATACCTTTTAGCCTGGTCTTTACCGCGTATCCTAGCAGTCTGAGGTGGGCCATCCGGGCCCTCCCCCACAACCGAGAACGCTGCTTCTGAGGGACCTCTGGAAACTGTACTGAAGCGAGCTATAGCGAAGAAGTCCATTGTGAGTAGGCCCTGCCTAACTCAGAGGCGTCCTGTTCCGAGAGATGGAAAGCCCAAGAGCTCCTAATCCAGGCTGGGGCCTCGGGAGGAGGGTGGGGTTCAGCGAAGGCGCTTTTCTAGAGGTCGTCCCTTTCATCCATACTCCAGTTGCATCTCAGCATGCAGACAGGCTCAGGCATAGGAGCCCCGCCCCAAGAGCGGTGCACAAGCCCGAGAAGCCCAGTGAGAGCGTCGAAACCTTGGGCAGGTATACCTTCTGTGTCACGCCGGAGTTGCATATCCTGCTCCTGGGGTTCTCACTCCACAGCTCCACCCAGATCAACGACGCAACCAGAGTCGAAGGGGTCGCTGGTGGTGGCGCGCGTGTACACCTTAGGCGATGCTTAAGAAAACTTAAATGTTCGGCCAGGGTCTCGATTATTCTTAATGTTTGAATGTAACTCCTAAGATTTGAATAGACATTCTGGGTTTTTATTCAAATTCCGAGACTATGAATTTCTTAACCCATGATTTCTTAAGCATTTCGCAGGGTGTGCTTTCTCCCTGGCGGGAGCGGAGGCGGGCTCGAGTCGGGGACGGAGGCACACTCCCGGCGGGGGAGGCCCACGCCGACGGGCACCTTGTCTGCAGTGGCCCGTGTCGAGCCGAGCCCCGTCGCGCTCTGCCTGCTCCCGTCCTGGCAGTGGCCGTTCCGTCCTGTCGCTGCCGCCGCCTCTCGGACCCCTTGCCGTCCCGGGGGCCCGCCCGCCGCTCGGGCCGCGGAGGGTCGGCGAGGCGCTGCGGCCTGTTGGGGTCTCGGATCTCCGCCTCTCGTCGCGTCGATGTCGAGGCTGACCCACAATCGCTCCGTGGTCATCGCCCGCCTCGCACGCCCGACCAGATGCAGCCCAGGGTTCGGCAGCGCAGGAGTCCGCATGACAGTCGAGCGCCCGAGGCGGGGCCCGCGACGGCATGTCCAGGAGGTGTTGGACGGCGCGATGGCCTCCTGCCCAAGGAGGTCTGGCCACTTCGAGCTGGCAAGGCCAGCAGGGGGCATGTTCCAGCCAGCTGCAATCGCCCGCGGGAAGCTCACCAACTCCAGGAGCACCCCAGGGTTGTTGAGCTCTGTAGGGTCGGCGCCTCCGAGCTCCTCGGCAGGCGTCAGGTAGAGCGCTGCGAGCAACAATCCGCGGCCTCCTGGAAGGGCCATCAGCCTGCCAGTGTGTCTTTGTCACGCCCACAACGTCAGCAGTGATCGGTGCCGTGTCGTGGCTTTGCTCGGGGGGGGGAGGGTGAGGGTGAAGCCGTCTCGACGCTTGTCCACGCAAACCAGCCCCACGACGTCGATGAAGTCGAAATGTTGCTTCCTTCTCTTCACTCTGTCCGCTGCACGTCCCTTCTGCTTCCCTCTCGCTAATTCAAGCTGTGCGCGGCCCGCTGAGCTTCGACCGGAAGGGGTGCGCTCTCGACCCGCGGATCAAAACAGTGTCCGCTGCACTGGCACGGCCACCTCGAGCTCCACGGCTGCGCCCGTGGGCGCCCGCGCGCCTGCTGCTCCACCGTCGGGGGCCGCGTTCCGCCCGTCGGCGGCCCCGGCGGGAGCCTCACCGGGATCCGGGGCGTCGGCCGCCCGCGCGCCCGCGGCCCTGCTCGACCGGTGAGTGCCCTGGCCTCCTCGGGCCTTGGCGCAAGCTGCTGCCCCGTCGGGGGCTGCTGTCCTCCCGTCGGCGCCCCTGATGCCACCGGGTGGTCCCCTCGCAGGGGCTTCCTGGGATCGGTGGCCTGCGATGCCACCGGGTGTTCCCCTCGAGGGGGCTTCCCAGGATTGGCCACAGGGGTCGGCAGCAGCAGTCGGACCACCCCGTGCACACGCTGAAGTCGTCGAGCTTGTGCTGCTGGATACCAAACCTCTCCCGTCATTGTCACCGATGCCACCAGGTGTTCTTCTCAAGGGGTCTTTCTGGAGTCGGTGCCTTCCGGTACCATCAGGTATTCCCCTCCGCGGGATTTTCTGGGATCGGTCACGGGGTTTGGCGGCAGCTTTCATTCCACCCGATCCACTCCTGAAAGTATAAGAAAGAGTATCCATCCGTGCACCATCGTTGAGGAAGTCCTCAGCGGTCGCTGGCACCGCGTTGGATGAGGTGCACCGTTAGCTGGGACTGCTCTGGCGTGGTGACTGCCTTTGCCCTGCGCTGCCGAGCTCTGTCCAGTACACCGTTGAGCTCACGCTGGGCATCCACATCGTCATTATCCTCGCCATTGGCATCAACAGCGGTGCCCTGGGATGTGGCGCTGGCATCTTCTGCACCTGCGGCGGCCGCCGCTGGTGCTGTCGGGGCTGCTGGCGCAGCGGGAGGGGCCCCGCCTCTGGGCGCTGCTGGTGCTGCTGGTGCAGGGGGCGGTGACGGGCCATCGCCATCACGCCTGCGCTTCTCGAAGGTCTCGCTGAGGAGCGTGATCTGCTCCATCTCGCGCTGCGCCTTGAGCGCCTCCGCACCTGGACCAAAGTGGGCGCGGACCGCCTTCTGGAGGGACACTTTGAGGTCGGCTTTGAGCTTGTAAAACTGCGTCTTCTGGCCTGGCGAGCCGTCGAGGCCGTCCAGGTCGAAGAGCGGGCCATCCTCGATGCTAGCCGCGGCCTGCTCGCCGCCCTCTATGGGAGCCGAGATGTTGATGCAGCCGCCCTTGACCTCGTGGGAGGTATCGTTGCCGACCAGCGCCCACTTCTCGGCCGCCAGCTTCGTCTCCGCGGTGACGAGTTCGTCGGCAGCGGCGCGTCGACCTTGGCCTGGCAGTCCAGTGTAGCTCGTTCGGAGTCGGCTGCCCGCTGGATGCCCTCCTCCAGGATCGCGGGGCGCTCCGCTCGCTGGGTCTGAGTGAAAAGCCGTCTCGAGCAGCTGGAGTGCGCGGCGCTGCTCCTCGGACTTGGCCTGTACCCCGAACTGCTGGACAACGTCGGCAATAGCCTGGGCCTGCTGCGTGGCTTGCGTGTCTTCGCGCCAGGTGCTGCTTCCGCCTGCGCCATCGGGCCACCACGAAACAAACAACGAGCGCCAGCCACCACGCGCCCAAACTCCCCGTCCAGGGGGCGACGGGGAGTAGGCTGGGCGAAGGGCGCAACTGAAGCAGTTCTGGCGGTTCTTATGGCTCCACTGGTGTAATTGCACTTTTGGCACATGACGTGCTCCTGGGCGAAGGTGATCTTGGGAGTAGGCGACCTCGTGGGGCGACGCTTCGGAACCATGACTGTGAGCGGGTTTTGGTGGCGACCCTGGGGCGAAGTCGCAACGAGGGGAATGGGAAGCCAGCGCATTGGCACCGAACCTGAGCGTGAAAAGGATGTCGAACAGCCAAGCAACCCTGCCTGCCGCGGATCAGCGGTATCCACTTGAAATGGCTACGGAGGGTGGGAAGGGGGGACAGGTGGGGAGGAGGAGGAGGCGGAGGCGGAGGAGGAGGAGGAGGAGGAGGAGGAGGAGGAGGAGGAGGAGGAGGAGGAGGAGGAGGAGGAGGAGGAGGAGGAGGAGGAGGGAGGAGGAGGAGGAGGAGGAGGAGGACCAGAGGAAACCCACGGTGCATCAGCAATGCTGACGTATACACTTCCGTCCCAAGCCCCCCCCTCATACGTCCCCACGGGCCTTCTTCTTCACCGCAGGAGTCGGCCCCTGGCAAGACCAGGACCCCATGGGCCGGCCCTCCTGGCGCGGGCCCCGTCTTGGAAAGGAGCAGCCCTGCATTTTCCTGGCACGTGCTGGCAGGACTGCGAGAGCGCACGATCATGCAGTGCAGCGAGGTGTCCAGCGCGACCCCCACGCTGACGCCGAGGCTCAGGTGCCGCGCGAGAGGGTGGGCTGGCCGTGCAGCTGGTCTGCCGCGGCCGCCTGCGGCCCCGGGGGCCCTGTGACCGCGGGCGGGCCGCGCGGGCTGCCCCCCCGCGCATCATTGCACTTGTGGCGATATGTTTGCGGGAGTCTCATGATGAGCGTGTTTTCCACCACCACCACCATAAGTTGGAGGGGGGGGTCCTCCTCCTCCTCCTCCTCCTCCTCCTCCTCCTCCTCCTCCTCCTCCTCCCCCTTCGCCCCATCCAACTTATGGTGGTGGTGGTGGAAAACGCGCTCATCATCTCAGGCGAAAATCCCGCTTCGAGAACGAGCCGGCCTCCCTCCGCGGAACTGGTGGCTGCTCTCAAGACGAGAGAGCGCAGCGCTGTGCAGCGAGAGCCACATGCTGAAAAAACGACCCGCCCTCCGTCC